ATACAAAATCCAACTAACACAAGAATTGAAGCCGGCAGACCATCAACAGTCTTAGTTAATTGGATGCTGGAAAGAGAAGACGGATTTAAGGCCAAAGTGCTCTTTTCTGATGAGGCTCATTTTCACCTCAATGGGTACGTAAATAAGGAAAATTGCAGATTCTGGGGGGCTGAAAATCCACAAAAATATCATGAACAACCTCTCCGTCCTGAAAAAGTGACTGTTTGGTGCGGATTATGGGGTGGCATCTTTGGACTAGTATTCTTTGAAGATGCCGAAGAAAGCGCCACTACCGTCAACGAGGGGAACGTTATCGCGGCATGTTAACAGACTTTTTGTGGCCACAATTGGATCCTATTGGTGCCTATGATCTTTAGTTTCATCAAGACGGAGCAACGGCTCACACATCTCGGCAAACAATCGCCTTATTGTATACGAAATTTCAACACCGCATAATTTCACGAAATTCAGATGTCAGTTGGCCCCCAAGATTGTGCGATTTAACACTTCTTGACTATTTTCTTTGAAAGGAAAAGTGTATGCGAATAATGGTCCCCAGACAATTCAAGACCTAAAGCGCAATATTCGTACTGAAATTGCGGCCATAGAGCCGATTATTCTGGGAAAAATCATTGAAAATTTTGAAGTTTGGATGTTGGCCTGTAAACGAAGCCGGGGTGGTCACATGACTGATGTTTTTTTTCTTACATAAATGGCATAAACCAACCAATAAATAAATTCGACTTCACCTCGTAAAAAGCGTGTTGATTTTTCAAATACAAAAAATAGTAATAGATGACGCACCCTGTAGTATTTATATGAGAGTTTTCCTTGAATCTCATGATCAGAGCAACCTGAATTGTTTGTCAAAGTTTGGCGAGAGTACCCTAGAAAGCTCACTTTAACCTCCCCAGACTGAAATCCTGAGAGCGCCATATTTCCTGCTGTCCATATTTCTAAAAAGAAAAGCGAAAAGCGAGTTTGAGAAATTTGGTGGATGTGAGACATTCACAAGATCATCTACATCTTGGTGAATGCTCTTATTGTGGCTCTCTTTTATAAATCTCTCAGTAGTATACCTACATGCATACCAAGGCTAACACCAACGCCGCTCGTGTACAAAAACTCAAAAATGTTTTTTTTGTTAGAGTCGATTAACCTCGATTAAATAAAAATTATTCAGACATAAAATATCGAAAACACTTGATTAGATATAGTCAAAATCACGAAAGATGACTATTACGTAATACCATAAATTGTACTGAAGTAATAATGGACATACGTCGATGATAAAATCACGATGTCAGGAACATAATGAAAACAAATTTATATTATTATTTTGCGAAGTTTGGTTATGTCACTGATTATTTATTATTATTATTATTATATAGTGGGTAATTTTTGTTTTGAAAAAAAAAACAGTTATGAGTAGAATACCTTAAGATAGGAACACCAAAGACCAAAGTATTATTAGAAAACAACCTAACCTGCTTTAACATAACCTAACTATTCATCTTTAAAATATGATCGATCATCCAACATGAAAACATCGTCTATCTTTGTCGGATACATGCAAATTAGCAATACAGTTTGTTTAGACAATAAAATTCTGTTTGTCTCTGTCTAACATATCTGAAACTTCATCAAAAGTATTTACAAATCGCTGTCGTTTGTCTTTACTACAGACTAAAATGATGACGTAATCGTCATCTTTCGTGATTTCGTCTATAGAGAGTACCTAAGTTCACAACGTGCTTCTAACCTTAAACATCGTCATCTCAATGCTCGCATAAACAATATGCTGGCAATCTATTCAATTCAAGCTCTTAGGCTAAAAGCTTAGGTTCCATATATCTGGGTTAAGGTTAAGACGCTCGCGCTCAATATTTAATTCGTGTTCGGTGAGTGTACCTTCCTATACTAGGTTAGGTTTCTTGTGAGTGCATCAATAACGATCCCCCACTGCGACTCTTTGGTCTGTTGTGGCTCACACCTATTTATATTTCCCCCAGTAACTCCGACGTCCTGAGGAAGTCGATTAACTTCTTTGGAGAAATATCCTTCAGGTCTTCTGCTTGGAGTACTTCGTCTCCAAGTACGTTGTACCTGATTCTGGCAACTGCAGGACATCTGCACAATACATGCATGTCCGTTGCATCTCCCTCCATGCACAGTTTGCACTCAGCGTCTTCCGCCGTGCCCAGTCTGCTCATATAGTGACGCAATTTGCAATGACCAGTGTGTATTTAATTGAGAAACCGACCAGCCAAACCCCCCCGCCCCCAGATCTTTAGTTATCAGAAAAGCATTACCACTGATGCAGCCGAGTCCACTCCGCTCTTCAGTTATTAGAAAGGCATTAGCTCTCAGTATTAGCAGTGATACAGCTGAGCAAATTTTCATTCGCCGATTACATCCCCCTCTCTTGCCGGGAAGACCACTCCGTAAGTGATCTCCTGACTTAGAAGCTGGATCTGGCCTCGTTCTTAATTCAGGTGCACATTTCATCCTTCATCTCAGGGTGCACAAACCTCTGATGCCGGCACTGAACGATAAAATACTGAAACTGAACGGTAAGCGAATGACAAATGATCATGATCAATCAGGAATCTGGAATAAATATGATTGTCCCGTCAGGAAGAAGCAGAACCATTGTGACAGTGTTTCCAATACCCCTTCATAAAGTTACAGATAATTAGTTTTTTTTTTGGATGTATATATAAATTCATTTTACCTACAAAGACAGCTCAAGTCTGGGGGATTATCCACTTTACCCCTCCTTGGAGGCGCCAATGGCAGGAACAGACTCTGCGTGTGGTGCAGATGACGTCCACTCTCAAAAAAGGACGTCTGCTGTTCGCAGTGGAAGGTCCCACCCAACAAAAACGATGCCAGGCGATAGGAATGACCACAACCACAGACCTCTAGCTGAAAATAGCAACAAGCATCTGCCTAGCTGAGAATAATATAATAATAAATGCCTATATTTCCAAACAGTTCTCAAAAAAAAATCAGAGAGCAAAGAGAAAACGTGGTGGTAAATTTAAAAGTCTAGAATGATATATGAATACATACATATACGTTTATTTGCATCATATGAAAAAAAATATAAATAAAACAATGGAATGCAAACAAAATAAAATTGAAATTCCGAAGCAGCAGTAAGAATAATTCTACTTTATACATTCAAGGTAAGAATCACGCAAAACCGCTTTGAACTTATGAATTTCATATGATTTGAGGTACTGGGGGATAGGATTGTAAAGCTTATATACCTATACCTACCTATTATAATACGTAAATGATCATTCATAAAATTTAGTTCTGTGGAATGGAGCGGTAATGTTTTGTTTCGAACGAATATTTACGGAATGGATGTCTTTTCTGAATGTTATTTTCTCCTAGAGGTAATGAGACTGAATAAGAGTTAAAATTTTATGATAAGAGCATATTGTAAATATCTCAAAACGAGCCTTCATATTTAGCCACCGGAGTTCTTTCAGCTTACTCGTTCAAATTTTCTTATACCATATATAAAACGTATGCATGAGTTCTGTGTTCTCTTTATTCTCATTAAAGTATCACAATCTAGACATGTAGAATGAATTGGAACACAGTACGAAAACGGTGATAAAACCAAGGTTTCGCAAAGGATTCTTTTGATGTATAAATTGAGAAAATTTCGCTGAGGATACAATACTTAATTTTAGAGCCAGATAAGATTTTTTGATACAGTTTGATATGTGCTCACGGAACCTCAGATTATAATCCATTGTTAAGCCTAAGTTTTTAACTTGATCACAGTATTTTAATCTAATAGATATTATTTATGGTTATATTTAAATTCTCAATCACATAAGAACGGTCTTTACCAAAGATCACAGCTGATTTATTTGGATTTAATATTAAGTAGACAATCCACATGACTTTAAGATAGACAGCAAGACATCATGGTTAATTGTGTCAAATGCCTTGCTGAAATCTAATAGTATTAAAGCGGTAGACTCAATCAGATCATTCGACTGAAGACTGAATGATATCATCAGTTATTTTAGCAAGTACAGTGGTGGGAAAAATTGTATTAATAAGATGTACTTACCAAATATGGTAAAATATACGGGACACACAATTTGACGAGATGTATGCTAATGCCATCATTTCCTGGTCTGGTGTTTTTTATCCTACTTAATGCGTCAAATACGTCTTGCTCAGATACCAATTTGAAATTGAACTCTAAATTCCATATTTTGTTTTGATCATAATATAACAATAGATATGATTACCAGGCGCCACATGAGGCATGCTGTCAATAAAAAAGTTATTTATATGTTCCAGTGTTGTTATATCCATCACAAAATAGCCACAAGCATCTGCCTAGCGGTCAATAATACCTATGTGGAGTCACCTTATTATGGTAGGTAAGTTATATCGCATTTTATACGAATTGACCAGATTAATCTTCACTACCATCGTACCATCAACACTACTCTTACCGTTCTGCCTTTACCTCCGTGACCATCACAATCCTCACATCCGCCAATGGATCCCTACAACTACTAGAGATTGTCTTTTGTTAACATGGAAGAGCACTAAACGGGTGTTGTAACATTTCTGTCACTTCAAAGATATAGGCATTCATGAAATGCAGTCATTAGGATTACCTACCCCTGTGCCCCTTCCTCATATTTACAGTACTCAAATTTAAATAAAACCCCATCTAAATCCTACGATTTCAAAAGCACCAGATTCATGATACTCGAAAAATTGTTCTCCAGTCCCAAATCAATATGCCCAATAAAACTATATAAATATACAATATCAGTGTGAAGACTTGCCCTCTCCAATCTCGAGCATCGTCGACGAGATCTTCCAATCCCCTTGTAGCGTTCTAGAGAGCCGTGTAAAAGGCTCCGCCCCCTACCGCTTTCCATAGGCAGCTGAGGTCGAATGCCCCGCCCCTATTGGCCGTTCGAGTACCCAGAATGCAACGGGACCGGGCACAAGAGCCGTGTACACTTGGAGCACACTCGAGGAGCACGCTTAGGCGAGTTAAGCACACTTCGAGTTAAAGAGTCTTACATCAAGAGTGCTATAGCTCGATCGCTGATTTATTTATATAGTTAGTCAGTTTGTTTATTGGATTCGGTTCGGGATCGAGTGGTTTTCTTGGCAACGCGGCATCGTCGTCGGTTTCGGTGCGGTGGCCGTGCCCGGTGCGTACGACCGGTTTTTGCATGTGGATGGGACTTTGAGTGATTTGGTGGGACGCAGCTTCTGCGTACGTGTGCCAACCGAAACGGAGCTCAAGTACTCCGCGGTCCTGGAGTCCATGTCGGCAGGTGGGTACCTATGTTATGAAGTTAGTTATATTGCGCATGGGCTAGAACAGACCTGGGTACTAAACCTACTGCGGATAGGATGTATTTGATACCTTTAAATTTAGATAAAAACTTACATACCTAAACAGGCACACTGTATAGCAGATGTTTCTGAACACCAAATGGTTGTTATGCTACTTGTCGGAGACTTGACACGTTTTCCACACACGAGATCATGGACGCCCATTAGGGGATATATGCCCCCCTCCCTAGCTGCTACGTGAGGAATAAAACATTCTTAATGGAGTAGGTACCCGTTTCTTGGACAACGAGTACCAGGCGTGCGTTTTTTTTACTCCGAAAAACAGCCCTACACAAGATGTTTACCCTGCTTCAAACTGGTTGAGTATTCTTGTAACTCCTGCCTTCTGAATTTTGCTATATGGGCATGGGTGAGAAACATTGCTCCAGATATAGTTGTAGAAAGTGATTGTCAATCAAAAATAGTTGTAATTAATATCTTTTATTGAAAAATACAATTTAAGGCAGATAAATCAGTTTTTGTCAGTAATGAAATCAAAATTACCTCATCATGTTAAATAAATCAAAATAGATTTAGTGCCTAAAAAGGGACAGACAGTTATTTCAATGGTAAAAACAACAACAAAAAATGAATAAATATGTAGGTACCTACTTAAATAGAAAACTGGCGTCAACCCTGTCATCAATTTATGAAAGATTATATTCGGCACAAGTCCGTCTTAGAAATAAGTTGGCTTGGAACATGTAGATATAACAAAGGAATTAAATGGATCCTGTCAGTCATGTCAACAGGCTCATATAATTAGTCCATAGTCCCCACAGATTTGACAACATTACAATCTAGCCTGCCGCTCTACTGACAGTACCGACCACCCCCAATATCAAGTTTTTAACCTCTACAAAAGTTTTTCTGAAAATCATCAGTGTCGATTTTTATTTCCATTTTTTCGTGTATGATCTTTTTTTCACTGGCTCGATTTTCAAAAACTACAAATCTTTTTCGTCCTTCGCACAGTAGTAACCATCAAAATCCGAGGGCTAGGTACCTATCAACTTCCTAAATTATAGGCGGGCTAAGGATTAGTGGACAGACAGAAAAACATAACATCTCGTGTCTTGCCAGTGGCGTAGGAAGTAAAAACTTCAAATTGCTTTAAATTAAAAAAAACATTAATAATTGATAATTCGTAATTAGCGACCCAAAACACCCATGGATGTGAATTCTCAGTTCACTCAGCCAATTTTTAGGCTTTTGTTGATTTTTTTAAGGTCGGTAGCAGTGGCTGGTCCCTTGGATGTCTTAGCACGCAGGGGCAACTACAACACTTGATAGTGGATACCAGTAGACCTCCGCTCAATTTGTTTCCTTAGTTACTAAGTTACTGGATGGTTATTAAGAGCAATTTCACGCTCTCACGCAAATTTTTAGGCCGTAGGCTAAATTAAAAATTCTCAAGCGCTAAAACTAAGATCGTACTAGATTGGTAATAGTAGCATACTTCCTACTTTAATTCTCTAGATTACTCCAACGCCTGAAAGAAGCTTTTAGAAATTAAAACTAATTAAAATACCTTAGGACTTCTATGTTGACTTTAGAGGGTGAAAATTTAGAAACACTGAAATCGTCGTTCGCTACGGATGGTTTGATAAAAAAAATTATGACAAGTAGATTGACTCGGCACTTCCAAGCATCCCCCATGCATGTTTTCAAACTTTCCATGAGCTAAATAAGCGTTGCTAAAGAAACAAAATGTTTGAACTGCATAATGCACTAATAACGACCTAACATTAAGCAATCAGAAACGATGGAAGCAAATTTTCGAAATATTTAAAAATTATAACTTCTCCACAAAGATATTCGATTACTGTTAAACGTAAACCTATTTTAATTTTTACTCAAAACACATTTATCTGAATTTCAACAAATCTCGTATTCACAGCAGGTACTCATATTATTCGTTGTAAACATCTACAGGTATACTTCACTTTCACTCTCCATTTGGACTTCGCCACAGTTAGGTGGGGCCCCGCTACAAGTTTTGATACGGATGATTTATAATGAATAGGACTTACGCAAAACGTACAATTTTTCGTTGTTTTGAAAGGTATTTTTGAAGAAGTCAACTATATTCATTAGATCTATTACTTCAAAAACGCCTTCTGGTTGCTCAAATTGACTCCCCAGTAACAAACTTGGATCCTCCGGGTCAATGGTTCAATAGTAGGCCTAAGGATTATACGTTTGAGGAACGATCTCTCCTTTTACATATTTTCAAAATTTTGAAAATTTTTGGAATTTGCTCCATTTCCGACATTTACAAAATTACCAAAATTTGGGATTTTTTCAGAATTCTGAAAATTTTGTAAACCTGTAAAATTTTACTGTACGGAGATTTGACGTCACACTTCGCGTTCAAAATGGAACGAAAGTGTACCTATTACTGCGGGAGACGCAACTTTGAAGTTGTATAACTTTTTTGTTTTTAGAGATAAATCGATATTTTTTCACACACCTATTTGTATGTATCTATGTATCTATAGGATGTTACTTAATGGTAGTCCCTAATTACAAAGACGTATTCCTGAAAAACCTTAAGTTGGAAAGTATCTTATAAAAATTGGATTTCAAGATAGGGTGTCAAAGTTTTATACAAATTTTTGAATTCTTTTGACATGTTAAAGATCCTTGAGCCCATTTTGTTGAATTTTTGCAGTGTTGTTTATTATTGCAATAATACGCTAAGCTAACTAGAAGATAATTATGACTTCCAGTTGTGTCTCGGGTGCAATCTCAGGAATAATATTGCGTGCTTTGACTTTTTGTACGCCTGATTTCTGCCACGGCGACTGATGTTATCTTACGGTAAAAGCGGTATGGTTCATTTAAGCAAAAGAAAAAACAGTAGTTCCATATATCGAGAAAACTATTAGGTAACTTTCAAAGTAGAGTACCACATACAAAATTAATATTAATAGCAATCTTTAACACATTGAAAGATATAGATATTTTATTTATTTCGATGCATTCAGCATCAGGCCTAATACAATTTATTACAGAACGCGTGACTGAAATCACTCAAAAAGTTACATGTACCAACCACCATTGGAGTAGTTTAGCGTCAGCAACTAGTGACTGACAAAGCGGTCAACGTGTTATAAAAAAGTTTGTTTCCATTTGAAAACATTGACTTTCTCGGTTTTCGAGAATCCAATATTCATTATCTTTTTTTGACCTCCATGTACCATTTGTTTTCCAAATCTGGAATAGAATCTACTGAAGTAGGTCCCCTACAATAGTATCGTTACAAATCGAATGGCAAAGACAAACCTACGAGGAAAATTGTTATCTGTTGATTGAAATCTCTCAAAAGCAGTCAGATCTAGGTATCTAGGTATGGTATGATATACAGGGTTTGTCCGGAAAGTAATAGGACTCATTTTCTTTCGCCATGACTCTACTTCGGAGCGTGCGCGCGCCGACTGGATTCGGTAGATGGCGTTCCTAGATAACGAATGAGCGGCTGGTCAGTTGTCTTCGAGCACTTGGAGAGTCAGGACAGGCATTTTCGCGCGACGTGTTTCTGTGAGTGGTGCAAGCCGAAAATGCAGCGTTCGTTAGAGCAGAGGTACGCGATTAAATTCTGTGTAAAACTCGGTAAATCTGCGTCAGAATCGTGGATCTTTGAGTATGATCCCGAGACAAAGAGGCAATCTTCCGAGTGGCACACGACGGCGTCTCCTCGCCCAAAAAAGGGAAGAATCAGCAAATCCAAAGTGAAAACGATGCTCATTGTCTTTTTTGAGATCAAAGGCATCGTCCACCATGAATTTGTTGCTCCTGGACAAACCGTCAACGCCAAGTTTTACGTGGAAGTGCTCAGGAGACTCAAGGGTCAGTCGGGTCCGACAAGACATCGCAGCCGACTGGAAGTTGCACCACGACAACGCCCCGGCTCACACCGCCTTTTCTGTGAACAGCTACCTGACCAAGGCCGGCATCCCAACGCTTCCGCATCCGCCCTACAGCCCAGATGTGCCCCCCCCCGGACTTTTTTTATTTCCTCGCCTGAAAAGGCCGATGAAAGGCAAGCATTTTGAGACGACAGACGGGATCCAAGCAGCATGCACCGCGGCTCTCAAGGCTATTCCGGAGAATGCCTTCCGTGACGCCTTCAATGCTTGGAAATCACGCTGGCAGCGCTGCATCGACGCAGAAGGAACCTATTTTGAAAGTTTTTAAAGAATTGTAACGATTGGCTCAATAAATTTTTTTAAATCGACTCAGTCCTATTACTTTCCGGACAAACCCTGTACATAAGATGTATTTCGAATGTCGCGTAAACTCCAAATATTGAACAATATATAGGGCGCTCTGTTTAAAGTAAGCAAGTTGGTATATACTTTCCGTAGAACTGATAGAAAATATTTCAGGCGCATTGCTTCCATCAGTTTACAATAACCCTAAGTTTTCATATTTGTTTAAAGTCTACGTGGGACCCTGTGTATTTTTAAGCTTTGTTCTCCGTTACAGCCTCCTTTTCAAATAAAAAAAAAATTTGTTACAGGTGGTTCTTACGGGGAGGGCCCCGTAGTATCCGCGGACCGGAGCGACCTGCACGGGTTGCTGCCCGAACTCAATGGCGTTGAACTGGCGATGAGCCTGAGCCCCAAGCACCATCATCACAGTCATACGGTAGGTCTCCAAATACGCCCCATTTATAGCCAGTGACTAAAGCACCCAGTGATAGCTGACCCTATGTTTTTACTCGCATTTCTTCTCACGCTAGTAGACACTGGATATTTTTCCTATGTATCCTACTCCTTGCAGCACCACTTTCCAAATCCATTGGACAACTCGTACTATGGGTTTTGTGAAGGTCAAATTTTTAGCAGTTGGACGTGATAACAGAGACTTACTTATCCGGAATGCACAGTTTGGCAATACGTCAGTCGTCCCTCGTGCATTTTGCTAGAAACATGAAAAATAATCTTACTTTAAATTATCATTCAATTCATTTAAGTAATAATTTATATAAAATATGCCAAATAGTACAAATTACACAACTTCATCCTAATTTTCTTGTCAAAAAACATATTTGTCATTCGCTATAAATAGACGGATCACATCCGAAATACTGCAAAATGGCTGACTGATCGCTACTGTCATAGGCAACTGAGATTGATGCTTGAACAAATTTTCTAGTCGTTTGTCGAGGGCAAACGTTACCAATAACGAGGCAACTGGTAAAGATTAAAAATAACATTCCTCTTTTACTTCTTTTCCAGCGGCGTTGTTTTCGATGACCGTACCAGTCTTGCAACTGACGGAATATCTTTGTATAAGCTGGATTTTTTGAATCCACCATAAATTTATATCATGTTGGCGTCAAACATATAAGAATGCTATGTTTTAAATTTGGTACCAAGATACTATAGATAATTAGTTATATAGTTATAGTATCATGATTTGATGCTATTAAATTCCAATCTAGTAAATTATTGCAGTAAAATATGACCTCCTGGAGTAGGCGTCTAAGGTAACAGTTACTACGGATGCGAATTCTCACGAATTTGACCGAACACGTTTTACCATTGAATGTGTTTACAATGGCAGCGGCAAGCCGTCGTCAGAACTATACTAAGTGACATATAAATCCGAACACCCAGTTTAAATGGTTTTATTTTAATAAAAGTTGGTGAATGTTTTTATCTTACTGTAAATAACAAGTGAAAAAATTTTCAGCCTTATCAGTTGGACATTCTGGTTTTTATACTGCTTTCTTTTAATTCGCTAAAGCTCTAAAAATGAATATTTCAGCCGCAGTAAAGAATTAACGTTGGCGGATTTTGGTTCTTGACATCCTTTACGATCGGTTACGATGCCTAGAGTACGGAGACCTGTACGATTCCGTCAACTTAGTGAGTTTGATAGGGGCCGTATAGTGGGACTTCGGGAAGCTGGACTTTCTTTTCGGGCAATTGCAGTTAGAGTGCAAAGAAGTGTAGACACTGTGGTTAGGGGTTGTCAGGCATGGCTTCGAGAAGGCCGTACGCAAAGAGCAAGGGGCACTGGACGCCGCCGTAGAACAACAGACAGAGAAGATCGCCGCCTAAGATTATTGGCCTTAAGGGACCGTTTCTCCACTACCAGGTCCATTGCAAATGAATGGTTTGCAGAACACGGAAGACCTATTGGCATGCGAATTGTTTACCGACGAATGAGAAGTTTTGGCTTGTTTTCATACCGGCCACGCTGGGTCCTCCCTTTAACTCGAGAACACCGACGTAATCGCCTTGAGTAGTGCAGACAACGGTCACTCTGGGATCAGGAATGGAACAGTATTGTCTTTAGTGACGAGTCTCAATTTTGTTTAGGCATGCACGATGGTCGTGCCAGGGTTAGAAGGCGACGTGGTGAAAGGAGGAATCCACAGTTTTTTGTTGAACGACATGTTCTTCACACTGTTGGAGTTATGGTTTGGGGTGCTATAGCTTATGATTCCAGGTCACCTTTAATCTTAATCAGAGGTAACATGAACGCACAGCGTTATATCCACGAAGTTCTAGAACCCCATCTTTTACCCTATCTTGACACCCTGGCAGATCCAACTTTCCAACAAGATAATGCCCGACCACATGTTGCAAGAGTCACAATAGACTTCTTTCAACATAATGATGTCACATTGTTACCATGGCCACCAAGATCTCCCGACTTATCTCCAATTGAGCACGTGTGGGATATGATGGGTAGGAGATTGCTCAATTTGCAACGTCCTCCTCAGACTCTAGAAGCACTTCGAGAGGAGTTGGTGGTTGCCTGGAATGAGATACCACAGGAGGACATTGACCACCTGATCAGAAGCATGCCTAGGCGCGTTGGAGAATACGTAGCACATCAGGGTGCATCCACACATTATTAAAGGTCAAAGGGCTTTAAAGCAGTGCAATCATTTTGAAATTTTTATCATTTACTTATTATACTTCATTAAGTACTTATACAAAATTTTATTAAAATAAAACCATTTAAACTGGGTGTTCGGATTTATATGTCACTTAGTATATTTGAGCGCTCAAACAGAATTTATTTTTTCGTACGACCTGCGCTTGTTTTTGAATACTTATTGGTTTCACCATTGCCAACGCTAAATTTGTTTACAGATCATTGTTTGATATGAGAGACAAAAATTATTATTATTAATGACATTTCTCGACCAAATTGGGAGAAAATTGCTACATAACTGACTCATCTCTACCAGTTTGCATATATTTTTTATTATAATGTGGGTACATTATCAAATACACGTCACACATTGAGCCGTATTCATAAAACAAAGGATATCCTTGTACTTGCAAATTTTGGAGGAAATCCTCCAGATGGTTTTTATAATAATTTGAAGTAAATGCTTTTGCTTTTTGAGTATAAGAATATCCTTCAAAACAGTGACATAAGTAAAATGATATTCATAATCTTCACCTTATACTTGGCATAGGAAGCATATCCTTAACAAATTCTGAGTGTGGTCAGTAGCAGACGCAACTTCGTAACGAAAGGTGATCAAACGATGATGGCGGAAATTGTGGATGTTAGGGATGTTAAAACGTACAAACCTCGTTTACCTTCACTTGGTCGTGACTTCAAAAAATATATCGGTTCGACGAAGCAAATGTACAATGGCTTGCGGACAGATTTTTAGTTGAGAATGAGGAAACTCGAGGAGGAGCACTTTCATGTATTCATAAAATGAAGATATGTCTACGCTATCTCGGTGACCCTGGATATCAGCAAGGTATTGGTCAGGGACTTGGTGTTAGTCAAGCAACGGTATCTCGGACTGTGGATAGAGTTATGAACAGCATAGTTGCACAGTCGAACGAATGGATCAAGTTTCCAACTCCCAACCATGAACTGATGGAGGCCAAGCGGATATGGCAAAGCATGTATATATTTCCGACAGCAATTGGAGTAATGGATTGTACACATATAGGAATCCTGAAACCAAATCGCCATGGAGATGAGTATATCAACCGAAAAGGGAAACCTACTTTAAATGCGCAAGCCACTTGTGATACCAGAGAGACGTTCACAACTGTTGATGTCAGTTGGCCTGGATCAGAGCATGATTCCAGAATATGGAGAAATTCACAGACTAGATCACAACTAATAAATAAAGCAAATGTTGTACTACTTGGCGATGACGGTTATGGTATTGAGCCATGCCTTATGACTCCCTTCAGAAATCCTACTCCAGGAGCAGAAATAAATTATAATAAGCTTTTAAAACAAGAAAGAGTTATAATTGAACGCTGTTTCGGCCAACTGAAACGCCGGTTTCCTATCCTAAGGTATGTTTGCCGCGTAAAGTTGGAAAATGTGCCGAAAATAATTATTGCTTGCATTGTACTCCATAGTGTTGCGAAGAGCCTGGGCGATCCTGACTTTGAGTTAGTTGAACAAGACCCAGATGAAGATGAAGGAAATCATGAGAATGACGAACTTCCTCTCCGCCGACTAGATCAACAAATAAGAAGAAACTTGAGTATTATAATAAATAGTTTTACTGATTGAATTGTATTTATAAGGTATAATAAGTTTTATTTTCATGAACATCATAAGTTACAGGTGGCTGACGCTGCATCATTTCTAATTTCGTTTTATAATACTCTTGTTGTAAAATATACTAAGTGACATATAAATCCGAACACCCAGTTTAAATGGTTTTATTTTAATAAAAGTTGGTGAATGTATTTATCTTATTGTAAATAATAAGTGAAAAAATTTTCAGCCTTATCAGTTGGGCATTCTGGTTTTTATACTGCTTTTTTTTAATTCACTAACGCTCTAAAAATGAATATTTCAGCCACAGTAAAGAATCAACGTTGGCGGATTTTGGTTCTTGACATCCTTTACGATCGGTTACGATGCCTAGAGTACGGAGACCTGTACGGTTTCGTCAACTTAGTGAGTTTGATAGGGGCCGTATAGTGGGACTTCGGGAAGCTGGACTTTCTTTTCGGGCAATTGAAGTTAGAGTGCAAAGAAGTGTAGACACTGTGGTTAGGTGTTGTCAGGCATGGCTTCGAGAAGGCCGTACGCAAAGAGCAAGGGGCACTGGACGCCGCCGTAGAACAACAGACCGTGAAGATCGCCGCCTAAGATTATTGGCCTTAAGGGACCGTTTCTCCACTACCAGGTCCATTGCAAATGAATGGTTTGCAAAACACGGAAGACCTGTTGGCATGCGAAGTGTTTACCGACGAATGAGAAGTTTTGGCTTGTTTTCATACCGGCCACACTGGGTCCTCCCTTTAACTCGAGAACACCGACGTAATCGCCTTGAGTGGTGCAGACAACGGTCACTCTGGGATCAGGAATGGAACAGTATTGTCTTTAGTGACGAGTCTCCATTTTGTTTAGGCATGCACGATGGTCGTGCCAGGGTTAGAAGGCGACGTGGTGAAAGGAGGAATCCACAGTTTTTTGTTGAAAGACATGTTCATCACACTGTTGGAGTTATAGTTTGGGGTGCTATAGCTTATGGTTCCAGGTCACCTTTAATCTTCATCAGAGGTAACATGAACGCGCAGCGTTATATCCACGTTCTAGAACCCCATCTTTTACCCTATTTTGACACCCTGGCAGATCCAACTTTCCAACAAGATAATGCCCGACCACATGTTGCAAGAGTCACAATAGACTTCTTTCAACATAATGATGTCACATTGTTACCATGGCCACCAAGATCTCCCGACTTGTCCCCAATTGAGCACGTGTGGGATATGATGGGTAGGAGATTGCTCAATTTGCAACGTCCTCCTCAGACTCTAGAAGCACTTCGAGAGGAGTTGATGGTTGCCTGGAATGAGATACCACAGGAGGACATTGACCACCTGATCAGAAGCATGCCTAGGCGCGTTGGAGAATGCGTAGCACATCAGGGTGCATCCAAACATTATTAAAGGTCAAAGGGCTTTAAAGCAGTGCAATCATTTTGAAATTTTTATCATTTACTTATTATGCTTCATTAAGTACTTATACAAAATTTTATTAAAATAAAACCATTTAAACTGGGTGTTCGGATTTATATGTCACTTAGTATACTTGTTTGGTAATGCTGTAATAGCACTAGACGTTTGTAGTTAACCCTTTGGTTTCCTCAGTTTTGTATTTCTCTGTTGCTAATTTTCTTTTTGGTGGCAATGTCTTCTGAATTGCTTGCGCTGTAATACTAACTGTTTGCTCACTGCGCTCGGTAAATAGTTCACTTTCTTCTTCTTGAACACTACCAACCTGAATGGCACCTCTAATTTTCTCAAATGTAGGATTACAGTCACCTTCCATAGCTTTCAGCAACTTTCTTTCCCAATCTAACAATTTAATTGCTTTATTACCAGTTTTTTTTATCTGTTTTTTTTTTCAATCTTGATTTCATGTTGTTGATTTTTTTTAATAAGTCTAATAGTTTACCGAATGTTGATTCGTATTTTTACAACATCTTCTTCAGGGCATCGTCCTTTCTCATTTTTATTTTTGGAACTTATGACTTTTGCAAAATAATGGGAGCAATGGCAATTTCATCTGCGATGAACTGCAGGTCGTTGCCATTATTCTCAATAATTTCCTCATCACTTGAGGATGACTTGCTTATTAATTTGATGAAAAACTGTATACAGTAAAAATACGGAACGGTCTGTGTAAGCTCTGGAGTACAACTGTCAGTGATGCTGAGTGGAACTCCCAAGTCAACTACAAGCTGGAACAAGTCAGGACGGCAGCAGGCAGCAGCGGTGGCCGCAGTAGTATACTCTTCGGTCTCCTGATCAGTTGCCGTGCGCTGTGCGGGTTCGAGTCCCGTCCCAGGAGAAATTTTTCTCTTGGCTATGGATGTTGTGATTGTCCGTAGGTGGTAGACGGTCTCTGACTGTCGAACGCGGAGGTACCACCCGGCGGATCTCGTAGGCGGAGCCAGAATGTGTGCATGTTGCATGCACACGTGTTCCCTCGCCAGAGTCCGTGTGGCGTTCCCCCTTTCCCATGTATCCTCCTATAGCCCCACGGTACCCAATGGGTGCTTAGGCCTCAGGCCTTCGTGGTAGTTGGAGTATACAAAAAAGGACATGTCGCTCAAGATACAAATACCAGTCAAGGTAATCATTATGAATATGAAAACAAGGATATGCTTATATTTCTACCTTTTTCTCCAAAGCAAGACCTTGTACTTTTACCGGAAAACTTTTGTGGTTGGCCCAGCAATTCTTCAAATATCATTTCAAACTACCCTTTGTTGTTTGTACTAGAAAATAAAGGATTAACATTTAACAACAGTAACTTCGTTAGAGAACTTCTAACAGAATAAAATTCGTCAATTTCGTCCATACTTGCTGGGTTGCAGGAACGTACTTACTACCAAAATGTCAGAACAAAATTGCGTCAGAATTCGCACCAATAGTATCCGTAGCCTAAGTATTTCAGTGGACTGTGTAAAATATAATATGACTGAAGCATTGAAGTGAATTGGTCAAAATTAAATTGAGATTGTTTTGTTGCAGACAGGTCCGCAGGTGCTAAGCCACCTTCAACAGCTCCACCACTCAACGCCATTTAGCGTTACGGACATACTTAGTCCAATTGAAGAATCGTATAGAAAATTAGAGCTGGCAGCTAATCCTCCATCGCCCTACAGGTAGGTCAGTATGTCACATAAACATCTATTTTATATTGTCTGTGTTCTGGTGTGTAACAGAAACCAATGCAACCTTGTCGGTACGATATGATTCACGATCGATAAGGGAAGCCCGGCATTAGTATTTTCGAAATCAGATGTTCATATAAGCGCCTCCTTAATTGTAGCTAAGATACGGTACTCTGCCGTTTTAGAGGCGTTGAGTCGCATTAGAGAGTGATTGTGTGATGATCGCAAGAATTGTTTTCTCGCCTGAAAAGGTCGATGAAAGGCAAGCATTTTGAGACGACAGAGGGGATCCAAGCAGCATGCACCGCGGCTCTCAAGGCTATTCCGGAGAATGCCTTCCGTGACGCCTTCAATGCTTGGAAATCGCGCTGGCAGCGCTGCATCGACACAGAAGGAGCCTAGTTTGAAAGTTTTTACAGAATTGTAACGATTGGCTCAATAATTTTTTTTAAATCGGCTCAGTCCTATTACTTTCCGGACAAACCCTGTATTATTAGTTGTTTGGATGAATTGCTGATTTTATTTTTTGGAAGTAACTAAAACGTGTAATTTTCTAGCATCTGGAACAATAGAACAGGCGTGGAACTGTCAGAAATAATCGTTAAAGGACAACTGTAGTTAGTACCCACTTTCATCACATTGTAATATACAGTGCTTCTAAAAAATGAACCCTACTAACTTTTATATTTTAGCATAAAAGTGGCAGTCGAAAATTTTGAGATGGCCTCTGGGCGCTATTCTGGAACAATTTTTCAAATGAAATGTGCATCATGTGATATCTCATTTTAAAGTTCCTTATGAGTAGCTTGCAACCCTAGAGTATGAAATCACTATCCTTCAAAATGGCGGACTGGCTAGCTGTCAAAGTTTAGCGTTTTTGTACATTGAATCGCTTATCACTTGTGCAGCATGATTGGAATACTGCAGGTAACTTGGAACGCAGAGTTATCTAAATAAATGCAAACTCTATCTTTACTTTTTTGCCGTGAATATACTGTCGTAATTCACACAAAACCACGAGTACTAAAAACAGGATGCCATCTTGTCATTTCCTGACATCAGCCACACGGGAACGATACATTTACTTTGAAAATTTTTTTGGCAAGAATGCAATCATAGATAAATCATTTACTAAGATAGCTAAAACCTTCATTGCAATTATAAGAACTGTTATGTGTCCTTGTTAGTTCACAATTTTATTTTGATTTTGTGAATATATTTAGCATTAAAAACGTGACAAGGAATTTCAAGTTAGGATATCAGGTTGTTAATTTGGAATAGGTACAGTGCTTATTGTGCGAATTGTGGATTCACGCGGCTTGTAGTTCTCATGAATCTGGTGTGTATACCAGTGATTATTTTAAGAGCAGCAACTGAGAACACTAAACTATAAGTTCAGGCTAAATACTGATTTGTGATTATTGTGACTGATTACTTAACAATTTACTTGATAATTGATTGTATATATATATATATATATATATATATATATATGAAAAAATAAAGCTTCCGCCTTTCGTAGGGTACTTTGACAAGATTCAAGCAATGAGGACTCTTTATACTTTATCAGTCTCTAGCTTTCGATGGACTATGCCATCATCATCAGGAACTACATTAACATTAGGAAGAAATAGCAACTATTGTGCAGAATGGTTTTGAATTAATTACAATAGTATGTGAGATTGTTGCTTGTTGTTAAGTTGAGGGAAACATTTAGTAACCTGGTGAAAGCTGGATTCATGGTACATTCGTTAAATTAATCCAGCTTTCACCAGGTTACTAAATGTTTCCCTTTAATAACATTCGACATACTATTGTAATTTAAAACCATTTTGCGCAATAGTTGCTATTTCTTCCTAATGTTATTGTAGCTCCTGATGATGGTGGCATAGTCCGTCGAAAGAGACTAATAAAGTATTGCTTGAATCTTGTCGAAGTACCCAACGAAAGGCGGAAGCTTTATTATTTCACCTAACTGGTCTAGACGACAATGACCATGTCTCAAAAAAAAAATATATATATATATATATATATAATATATAATTAATAAGCTGTTTTGTTAAACAGAATAATTAGCAGAGACTGTAAAGCTGTTAGAAAGTTAATAAACTTATTAGTTTCTTAGAAAAAGTGCAAACAATTGTCAAGAAAAGTGATTATAATTTGGAATACTGTATCCCAAATTACCTGCACCTTAAGTAAATTTACGCTTTTAGAGTTTTTTACTTTGATAAATATTTTGATGGGGTTCTGGTTTTTGTTTTGCTTGATTGTTCATATCATCATCAAGTTTAATGATTTCCCAATAATTTAAGGTTTTCTTTATTTTGCTATCCCGTTTATCTTGCAATTTACTTCAAAAAAACAAACCAGTATTCCAAATATGCTGCAGTTCCTCTACAGTTTGTTTTATCAATTTTCCTTTCGAAGTTGAAAAAAATGAAGGATTTTGTCAATTTTTTCAAATGAATTATTTCATTACATATTCGGATCTAAGGATCTATCCTTCCAAGAGAATGAGATTGATGATTGGTTATTGAGTTAAAAGCGATATTACAGAAACGCTCAACTTGACAATCTATTAAATTATATAAAATAAAAAGCGCAAGACGTACAAACTATCAGTAAACTTGAGTACCGAATCATCGTCAATAACAAAAATTTCACCACTCAATGAAGCTGTGCCAATTATCAATAATAACTTCGGAAGCACAACTTGGGAGTCTATTGTGGATTCGGATGGCTTTGAAGGCCCCAGGATTGAATATATGCTAGATGCCCTAGCTGATACCCCGTACTGCCCTTAGTAAAAGCCACACCAACGCCCTGCCGTACGACTAGACCTTGACGAGATGGAGGACCACGCCGCTCAAGATCTGAACTCATCCGCTTGGCTGAAAAACAATATCCTAATCAGGATCGAATCAGGCACAATATAACCCCCCCGCTCAGGCACATCCCCAAAAACAAATATAATTAATTACCTCGTTTAGGTTCAATGCCTTTGGGGGTTCAGGTATACAGCTCAGAGTACAAAAACTGGGATCTAGATGTCCATTCCCTCTCTTACGCGGAAGCCGTTACGTCGAGCCGGTTGAATCGACCAATCATAGTCGAGCTGTCCCTTCTAGATTTAGATGCAGAAAATTACATAGTCCAGTCAAACTAGAAAATTTTTAAAATACATGGTCGTTGCAAACTCTTGTTATTGATGTCACTCAGGCGTTTGGGAAATGTCCCGCTGGAATTGACTGGGAAGATTTTAGTGAATACTTTGGATTGACAGAATCTATCCGTTTTGACAACTCAACCCCTGAAGGCGACTATGTGAAACTTTCTTCGTACCGTTCGGGCAGCGTTGAGAAGGTCCGAGTACCATAGGGACAATTGTTTTTTTTTTTCAGTGAAATCTCGTAATAATTATTCTCAATATTCAGACTCTATTTCTTTACTCTTTAAAACAGTTCACATACTTATCAATCATTTGGCAAAGCTTCAATTTTAGCTGTGACTATGATTTATAAATACAACTGGATCTTAATTAATTAGTATATTGTTATTGTTGTCTATCCTCCTAAAAAGGGCATCAAGTAGTTAGGTTCAATATATCTAACGTATAGGTTTGCAAAGATTTGTACTGGATTCTATAACATCATGATTATGATTTGTCGTATGAGTCTTATGACATTCCTTGTAAGCCTGAAGAATTTTGGGTAAGTTTGAATTTGAATCAAATTATAGATTCAATTATTTACCTCCATCACCAGAGCCAGTCTATTTTATTATAATCCTTACATACCAGCAACAGAGCTGGTCCACATTTTTTCTTAAGCTCTCTGTTCTATTCCAGATCGACATCTAGTGGCAGCAGCATCAACTCGCCGGTAGGCGGCGCGACTGGGGGCAGTGCGAGCAGCGGAGGCGGTGGAGGTGGTGCGTGCAACATGAACGGCGGATATCCGGGAGTGATGGGGCAGTTTGGGGGCGGGCAGTACTGTCCCGTGTCAGAAAACCTGGGCGGGTTGGCTCCACACTACTCCTCAGGATGGTACCAGACGACGGCCGCGGATCCACGGTTTGCCAGTGAGTGGTATATTTTTTGCACGATGTGTTTGCATATTATTCTTCTCGTACCAAAAGTATATTTTGTCCGAGCTAACCTGGCCCTTCTAGATTCTACGGCTGTCAACCACCAGCAATAGACGGCCATATTATAAACCCATATGAGTATCGTCTGCGCGTTGAATTTTTGAATAATCATTAAATACTGACGTCCCTGTAACAAGGTAAATGTAATTAACGTATCTAATTACCTGACAGATAAGTAGCACATGCCTGCTCGGACATAGGATACTTGAATAAAAAAACTGACTCGAACCCGCGCAGCTCAAAACGACTGATTAGTAGACACTCAGCGTCTCGACTAACGTCACCGCTCTAATCCAAAGGTAGATATAGGTACTCATCTATATGGCATTTACTAAGTCATCAGTGACGATTACGTGTAAAGCCCTCATATAGCTGGGACCTTCGGTGCCGTGGAGCGCCTCGCGGTGCCGACGCTAGGCAACCAGAATTACGCGACCATGTATGAAGCGTGCTTGCGACTACTTATATTGAAGTTCACGACTTGACCTGGAAAACGCTTGAATGTTTCTCGACTCGTCGATAGGGACATAAATATCCGACCAGATGGCAGAACCAGGCCGTCGCAGTCGAGTTTGTGGTCATTGAATGCGAAATTACAATAAGATAGTAGTCTGGTTGACATACCTATCACTTTGTTTTAAATTAAATTAGGTACAAGTGTTATAAATTAGAACAGTAAAACGGTGTTTTCGTTACAATATTTACCTGCATACCTAAATGTCTAAAATGAATAATAATATATATGACACCTCATAGAAGGCAAAGTATGTGTTTGGGGAAATTGCAATTTGAAATATAAATGTGATTTCATTTGGGCAGAGGATCATGAAAACCACAGGTTAAGTTTTAGATATTACTATAACCCTCAACTATAATAATCAGTTATAATTAATTCCATTTTTAATTAATTATAATTCATGTTGAACTGTAGTTTCATATGCCGAATTCCCTAGAAGAGATCTGATTTGTAAGTCGCCTGAAAACCTCCACTTTCCACTATTCAAATCAACCCAACCCAAATTATATCGTCACTGTATCCATGTGAGTAACCATGGTTGTATAGGAAAGCAAATATTGTTTCACCAGCTTTGTAATTCGACCCTATGGACGTGAGTTAAAGGGGTGTTACAGTATTACAGAGGATGCTATTTAATGAAATTCGATACGCACTCATTGTCACTCTGGTGAGCGATACATACTGTACGTAGATAGTAAATGCATACCATGGAATTGTTACTCCCATCATGTGAAGGTTTCAAAATCATACATACACATGTTAATACTTTTGTTTTACGTCAACTTTCTGGTCTATTTATAATGGTAATGGAAAATAGTTCCCAGTGAAATTATCTATGATTTCGTTAAATATCCAAAAGTCATCATGAGCATCACCGCCAATTTGATCTTAGAATTTCTTTAGCTGTTACTACTTTATAAACATTTCCAGCTTGATATCCATTTTTCATTCTGAATATATAAAGTAAAAATTCTAACAAAAAGTTATGATAAAACAGCAATGTGTATAGAATATATCCGCCTGTCATGCAATTTTTTTCGAATTTATTTGGGGTTCAAATTTAACTCTATTGGGATCTCGGAAACGGTAAGAGATGCTAAATCGGTTAAAAAGAGGTAAAGTTGCGCATTTAGGTAACGAAGAAAATGGAACTTAGAAAGTTTCAAAATTCCGAATATTTCCTAAGACAGATTAAAGAAACCGAATTTTCTCAAATATGTTCTCGTTTTTTCTTGACTTTATCATTGTCACTTTTTCTTCTCTACAAGGTGGCATAATTAAAATTTCTATATCACCTTTCGTCTCTTGCCCTCAACCGTCACCTATATTTTTTTATAGTCGCCATATTGGAGTTTTGTACTTTTGAATAGAATTTTCAATTTTGATTCCAAAAATGTTCAATAAGTCATTAATTGACATTGCAAAACCTTAGTTATTAAAAAAAACAAAATATTCTAAATACGCTTTGAAATTATCAGATAGCCATTTGTTTCACAATATTCAGAGCCCACTATGACAGTATTAGTTTGTTCGAAATAACTTGGGTTCGACAATGTCTTACACAAATACGTTTTTGAAATAAGAATTAAAAACTCTATTCATCTGTGAAAAAATCCAATGTGGAATCTATAAGAAAATAAAGTTGATGATTGTGGACAAGAGTCGAAACGTCATATTGGAAAAAAGTGGCAATATTTCATGTTGAAATCCCATCTCAATTAAAGCCAGTAAAAATGATAACGATATTGGTAAAATTTGGTTCCTTTCGGTTATCTCCGGAAATACTCGGAATTGCAAAACTCTCAATGTGGCAATTTCTTAGTTACCCTAAATACCCAACTTCGCCACCATTTAAACGACTTACTGTATCTCCTATTGTTTTCGGGATCCCAATGGTAAGAGTTGATTTTGAAACGCAGGGCAACTAAGAGAATGCATGATACATGATACATAAAATCTCATTCATTCTTCATTTCTGTGATGAATGAGGTGAAACACCTTTTTGTGAAAGTGTTTTATGGCTTCTAATGTACTTATATCATTTTCTTTTATGTTTAAGATTTTCGAAAATTTTAGAGACGCTTCGATTAATATCATCATTTCTCCCCGAAATGTTCTAGTAGTTCCTTGTATTGATGGTTTATGCATTGCATGGCATCCGCTGTATTCCCATTACTTGCCACTACAACCCCTCCACAAACACATAGAGTTTCGGCTTTCTGCGTCCCGCATTGTCAGCAAGCAAAGGGGGTATAAGTATGCGGACTCCTCTTCCTGGTCTAGAGATTCGGGTTTCGCCGTCTCTTATTTACCCAATAAAATAAACTTTGGGGTGGTGACAACTAGAATGCTTACGTTGCATCTCTCGAGGATATAGAAGCAATTCTTCTAGGAATTGATCTGTAGCGACTTATTTGTCGATGACTCTCTTATCGTTTACCAGCGAGTCCGTAAAATGTTAAACCCCCAATCACTACAGCATCACTAAGAAACGAAGTGACCAAAACAAAATTCTGTCTCGACAATGACAAAAGGTTTACCGTTTCAGATTATATATTTTGATGTTTGTAGGTATCTACTTATTTACTGCTACTAATTTATATTGAAAATGTTTAACAAAATGAACCAGTCTGGCTTGGCCCATTGAATATCAAAAGCTTTTAAGGTTTTAAAGACGAGTCTAAAGAAAATATGAATGTGAGAAAACCGTTTAAAAATTATGAAAGAAGGAACATTGGTATGACAGTGACTATTTAACAATGACTTTAATCTATAAATAGGAGTAAAAAGTTACTTGAAACAAAACCTACTTTAAAACATGAATCTGAATTAGTGTAAGATCTTTAAAGTTGTGGCCAACGCTAAATGGCTAACGGAAACCAACAACACCAACTCAGAAATAACAGCTGTTTGATGTGCCATCGAAATATTCAGAGAACCATCAGACACTGAGTAACACATATTAAAGGTTTGGCGAAATGGGTCGCTATATTTAAAATGATGTGTGGATCCTTAGCTGATGCGAGGCCTGGAGCAAAACATTTTTGCGATGCCTTTTTTAAAATAAAGTGGTATACTCCGAATTTTTTTTTAAATTTTCGTGCAAAAAAGTGTTTTTAGCATTTTTGATAAAGTCATTTTATTTCGAAACGCACCAATTATTTATTTACGTTTTTTTTTTCATTTGCCACGGTTGAGTTTATGTTTATTTGTGATGTAAGTATACAATGAGCCGTATTCATAAAAGAGAAACATATCCTCGGAAGCGTAAGGTAAAAGTATAAGGTCTTGCTTCGGAGAAAAAGGTAGAAGTATAAGCATATCCTTGTTTTCATAGTCATACTGATTACCTTATACTTACTCGCGAGGATATCCTCCAAAAAGAAGTAAAAGGTTGACTGGGAGTTGTATCTTGAGCGACATGTCCTGACTTGTTCCAGCTTGTAATTGACGAGGGAGTTCGTTCACTCAGCATCATTGACAGTTGTACTCCAGAACTTACACAGACGGTTCCGTATTTTTACTGGGTACAGTTTTTTATCAAATTAATAAGCATGTCATCTTCAAGTGATGAGCAAATTATAGAAAATAATGGCAACGACCTGCAGTTCATCGCAGATGAAATTTCCATTGCTCCCATTATTGGTGCCATTCAGGTTGGTAGTGTTCAAGAAGAAGGAAGTAAACTATATACCGAGTGCAGTGAGCAAACAGTTACAGTATATTCAGATAAGAGATAGACCGGATGTAAACAAAAGGTTCGGGTGATTTTCACGCTAACGCCGCCGTCTCGACGTAAAACAGGAGCCCTCATTGGTCAATTCGCAATTAAATGCCTATGCCGAGCGTCAGAGCAGTCGTATCAAGGCAGAGTCACATTCAGGTTCTGACGTGTTACGTATGTCGTGTGCATCATTGCAATTTGATATTTCTTTGGACGTTTTCGTTTGTTATCTTATTAAGTTGTTGAGTTTGTCGTTGTTATTGTTATACCTTGTTATTGATTGTTATTGTTATCAACTGCTTGCGCAAAATGCCCAGTAGTACAGATACTGCCGATGAAGTTGTAAACTCCTGTAGTCCACCTAGGAAACGCTCTAAAAAAAGACACCTGAGTGCAGAAATGAAAGAGGTCATTTTGAATATATATAAGATCAAGCGCGAGGAGAACGAGGCATCAACCATCAAAGAAATTGTTGTGAAGGTTTCTCACAAAGTTGGGGTGTGTCGCGCATCAGTGTTTAATGTGTTAAGACAATACAAAAAAATCACATCTTTTCTGAGCCAATGACCAGTAAACATCGCAAAAGTATTGTTAAATCATTGGATGAAGCTGATAAGCATGCGATTAGGAGGAAAGTGCATGAATTCTTCTTTAGGAATGAAATACCTACTATAGATAAAGTACTGCAGGAGG